TTTTTTTTTTTTTTTCTACACAAACTAATAAGAACAGGTCAACCTCAAACATACCATAAGAAATTTAGATGACCCCCCAAGACAAACTCATTTAGGACCACCACTAGCAAGATTCCTCAAGATAGAGGCTCATCTCTTATAGATTAATATCAACTTTAATAAATATTATCATGTGAATATATACACACACATATAACATATATCTAACTTAAAAGTTGAATCCCAAGAGCACTTAGATGAGATGATTTGGGTTTCTTCCAGTTTAACCAGTGGTCTCGTGTTCGAGCCTTGGGAATGCAGCAGTGTTAAAACTCTTGATGGAGAGCTTTGCCGCCCTTGTGGTCTTACCCGGCTCAATTTTGAATTAGTCAGTCGATTATCCTGTAGATCCGAAAACAAGAAGATCCATGTTACTAAAAAAAGAACTTAAAAGTTGGAAAACAACTAGGTCTCATTGTCCATGCCTTTGCCAGCCAATAAATCCAATATTTTTTCTCTCTTTCGCACTTTGGCCAACCGCACGCATCATCCATCCCACATAGGATTCCAAGTAAACCCATTAAATTATTCCATCCAAAAAATTAATAAAAAAATCCGTCAACAGTATACACAAACAAATAGTTAACGATAAATCCACCCAATCCAAGCAAGAAGCATGACGCAAAAACCCAAAAACTCAAAATAAACAGCTGTCAATAACTGTACACACTCCCGGAAAATTCAAAATACAAATAAAAAAATCCAAAATTCCAAGAATCCAAGAACCCGGCCCGACCCGTACAAAAACTATGAATCATGATCCGACTGAGGCCTCAGCTCCTTCCTCAGCCTCCCTGAAAACGAGCGGCAGGCTTCCATGCTCAGGTCCATCGCCGCCGCCAGCGCCACGAATGCAGCCGCATCCTCCGCGCAAGTCACGTGCGCCGCCCCAACCTCCACCTCCGGCCCTCCCCTCCTCGCCACAGTCGACGACATCACAAACCCCCGGTACAGCAAGTGGGCCCACGACCCTGACCCTGATGCCGACCCGAGATCCGACCCGGAACCCGACCCCAAATCGAAGCTGCTGTTGGGGCTCGCCAGGGGCGTGGGGCCCCCGGTCGTGACGTCGATGCACAGCTTCCCGCCGGCACTCGCGTCCACCGACGAGCTGGCGAGCGGGACGGTGTCGACTGCTCCAGCTCCGCCGCTGCCGTCGGGGACGAGGTCGAAACGGTAGCCGAGGCGGGACCCGTCTCGCCAGGCCTCGAGGCGGCCCCAGGGGCGCCAGGTGGCGTGGCCGGGCCGGAGGATGAGCCAGGCGCCCGGGCTGGAGCGGCTGACCCGGTTGGAGCCGGGGGATGGGACGAAGGGGGTGACCATAGAGGCGGCTGCCACCGGGGAGCCTTGCAGGTCGTGGATAGTGATCGACCATCCCTTTCGTTCTTTTCTGGGGTTATGGGAGTTGTCGGATCTCGATTTGATGGGGGTGAAGCAGCTGGATGAGGTGCTTGGTTCAGACAAGGCAGACCTGTTTTTTTTTTTTTTTTCAAAGAATCAAGAACAAACAAGTAGAACTGTATAAGCCACTAGTGAGTAATGATAATTGCCACTCCACATTGTATTGTCAGCTAATTACAGAAACAACTGCAAGAATGATGCCAAGTGATTCATAAAACAAACTTGGGCAAACAAATTTAAGAACTTTACGCGATTGAAATTACCCAATGCTACTTGAATTTCACGAGATTTTTGTTTAGAATCCCTACAATGCTGTATATAGTACATACCCTAGAATTCTACTGAGAAATTTAACTGCCTAAAATCTTGATTTTGTAAGAACTATCTATCAACTCTGAATTCATGGTATCAATTGAGCTCAAGAATTAATACACAACATCAATTACAGAACATACTAACGAAAAATAAAATTCAATAACCACTCCAAACAATTAAAGATAAAAAATTGCACTTTCTTGAATAAGCGAAAAGAAGGGGAAAATAGGTACTCACCTGGATCTCAAAACCCTATCCCCAAAATTTCTGACTCCGAACTTGCAGGTGAAAACCGGCTGCTTCACATTCCCATTAACCTGAAAAACCTGGGGGCTGCACTCGGGCTCCCCATCGAACCGGAAAACAAATCTCGGGTCGGGCTCGGCCCGAACATTCATATGCAACTTCGCATCCGACCCACCCACTCCGACCCACCCGTTCTGAGCCACGCACGCACGACCGCAGTGGCTCCCCAAATTCTCCAGAATAGCCTTCAAGTCCAACCGGACCACGACGCAACCCAGGAGCCTGCCGCCATTGACGAACCTGCAAACCCTGCCGCCCCCGCCGCACCGCCGTCGGACTTCGACCCTCAGAGAGCAAAACTTACCCGATTTCTCCGCCAATCTCTCCAATTCGGACCTGCCCATGGCGAAGCAGGCGTGGATCCTGCTCTCGACTGCGTCGCTGTCCGGTCCCAGGAGGGACACGTCGGAGAATTGGGCGGGGAAGCCCTTGAGCTTGAACCTGCAGCAATACCGCGTCGAATCGAGGTGGGTTTTGGCGGGAAACCTCAGGCACACGTTCCCTACCGCAATCCGCACGAAAGGACATGGATCCATCTCGCGCAGCAGATGAAAAAAGCGCACTGCCAAAAGGGACGACGATGAAAACTGAAGAAAGCAGATGAGAGAGAAGTTTGTGAGTGTACATATATATGGAAACAAAACAGGGGATTTGCGGGTGTATATGGGAAAAAGCGTGCTGCTAGGGTGACCTGGGGTTGCACGTACGCTAGGTAACAGCCAATAGGAAGTGTTTTTGGGGGGAGGGGTAGTTTGGGGATTAGAGGGTTGCTGAAATAGGAGCTTGTGATTGGTTTATTTTAGACTTTTTGTTTCTCTCTCTCTCTCTCTCTCTCATTTAAGAGAGAGAAGTTGTTTGTTTGATTTGATGATGATGATAAGTGGAAGACAGCTGTAGAGAGTTTCTGAGGTTTTAAATTTTCGGGGGTGACGATATTCTTCACCAACTTGGACCCCCGCTGCCCCCCTGGAATCATATTTTTACTTATTTTTATTTTATTTTATTTATTATTTAAATGGTAAAATTTTATTTTTGGTCCATTATATTGGTCATTTTTCAGAAATGGTCTACTAATTTGACGGATATCAAACTTGATACAATAAATTGTAAAATTCATTATTTTTGGTCCATTAACCAATCGAGCTGGATAACGAGCCTACGTGGCGGACATCAAACTTGTTCACGTATTCGCCCGATAAAATGCCACGTAGGCTTATGGACCAAAAATAATGAATTTTACAATTTATTGTATCGATCTTGATGTCCACTAAATTAGTGGACCATTTCTGAAAAATGGCCAATATAGTAGACAGAAAATGAAATTTTGCCTCTTTTTAATTATCATTTCCCACTTATTTTCATTAGCTACCTATTTTCATAACTAGTACAGAGCCCGTGCGATGCACGAGGTGTACAATTTTAAGGTCATTTATCGAGTCTTATAATTATATAAATGAATTAAAAAAAATGTACGGGATATATATAGTACGTGACCTGTAATAGGCCAAAATGTGAACATGGGTGATGCACGGGGTGCACAATTTTAATGTCATTTATTAGTACAGAGCCCGTGTGATGCACGGGGTGCACAATTTCTAGTATGTGTAATAAAAATACATATCGTATGCACGGGACAGAAGCACTAAATGAGTCACTTCCACATATCTTGCCCGTTAAATAGCTCCTGAACACGGGTGCCCAATTTGTAGTACGTACCATAAAATCAGAATAGATTTCCATACAATTAGATAATAAATTAGATAATAAATAAAGTCTTTTTTTATTTTTGTAAATATTTTACGTACTGTGTTTTTTTTACTTATTGGATGTTATGAGATTTTTTTTGTTAAACCAATTTTATGGAATAATACAAATACAATTAGAGGATTGAACAAAATCAGAACAAATTTTCATACAATTAGATAATAAAAAGGAATTGGATAAGGAAAATAAGGAATTAGATAAGAAAAAGAATGAATTAGATAAAGAATTTTGAATCTGACTTTTTTTTTTAAGTATAGATAGACTTTACGTACAAATTTTGACTTCACTGGTCTTATGGATTTTGTTTTGACAAAATCGATGTTAATATGAAATAAGACAAATAAATAAAGTCTTTTTATTTTGGTAAAGTTTTACGTCTTTTTTTTTACTTGTCAGATGTTATGGGATTTTTTTTTCTTAAACTGATTTTATGGGATATAAGATAAATAAATAAAATAATTAAATAATATTCTGGAGAGAAATAGTAATGCATTAATTACGTTGACTTTTCAATCTACTTAATATGGTAAAAAAGATACCTTATATAATAAATATAGATATACAAATAAATAACATGCCAAAATTTTAAAGAATAATTAATGTATTTTAATTTTTTATCTAGCCATCAGTAATATCATTTAATGATGTGATCATTATCTATTAAATGATAAATAAAATATTAATTTAAAATAATGTGATCATTATCTATTAAATGATAAATAAAATATTAATTTAAAAAAAAATATTTTTTATATACTCAAATAAAAATTAAAAAATACAATCGTCAAATATTAATTATAATATATATATATAAGTAATTGCAGAAGTTAATAAAATTATTTAAGGAAATAATCTTTTTGATCATATTTGAATAGGAAATGTGTATATGCAAACAATTAATGCATATAGTAAAAAATTTCCAAATAAAGTATGCATTAAATGTGAGTTGACTTTGTTTGCTACTATTTTTGGTAAATAGAATGGCTTTTAATATAAGTATAGATAGCTAAAACAAAATTAGTTTCACGTATTATTTACAAATAATAGGTAACGAATTAAGATATTATTAAATGTTTATATTAAAAATAAAAGATATACTATTTAATTTAAATATGAAAAGATAAAAGTAAAAACATTGTATATAATTTAACTCAATAAAATGAGAATTTGAAATAATTGTAAATAATATATTGATTATGAATCTGATCAAACATACAATTCTTAGAATGTAATTCAAACATATAATTATAAATCAATATGCATATTTTTACTACGAATTTCAATATTTCTATTTAAATGGTTGTTTAGAATCTATTTATATATAAAAAGATTTATTATTTTTAAAAAATAGCAGGTCAAACTTTGGTCAAAATTATTTTGCATTAATTATATTTCATTCTTAGTAACTTTTATTTTTTATTTTTAATAAAAAGGGCAGCATTAAATGCTACCCATTAATTAAGGATGTTGTTATTTTAGTTTTCAACAAAATCGTGAATGTTGCTCATTAATTGGGGCTGATGTTATTTTATTTTTAAAAATCATGCTTAATAAAGGAAACAACTATATATTATCCTAAACTGCTAGATAATTAAATTATTTTGCTTTGCATCTTTACTTGCTTAATAAACTAATTAGTGTTGATTTAATACTCAAATGGTCAACCATTTTTTTTTTTTATTTCATATCAAGAAATAAATATGTATAACCGATAAAAAAAGAATTAAATATGTATAGGTAATATATTAATTATTTTACAAGCTAGCCCTAACATGTTCATATTTAATATTATGTATAATGATCATTTTTTTTTTTTTTTTTTTTCGATATAATGATCATTGAAAGATGTAGAAAATATATTATAACCCTATTGTTTTTTTATTTTTTATAGATTTAACGCTGATTGAAAGAGGTGTAAAATATACAAGTGAAAAATATATGATAACCCTATTATTTTTAGACTTAACGACTGTGAAAATAATCCATTTAATATTTATGTCCCGTACATTACACGTGATATGTACTAATGTAACTTCAATTTGAAAGTATCACCGCCTACATTGACAACTGCGTAATAGCAATCTTATTAATTATCAAGTATTTAATACCAAATTTTAATGCAAATAGGTTTATAAAAGGAAAAAAAAAATCTAATTTTAGTATGTTGTTAGATTGTTATAATTAATTAATGCTTTATGTATTTTAATTAAAAAACTAGTACATAACCCGTGCGATGCACGGGGTGCACAATTTTAAGGTCATTTATCTATTCTTATAATTATATAAATAAATAAAAAAAAATGTACGGGATATTTATAGTACGTGACATGTAATAAGCCAAAATGTGAACACAGGTGATGCACGGGGTGCACAATTTTAAGGTCATTTATTAGTGCATATCCCCGTGCGATGCACGTGATACATATAATAAATCAATTATTCTATAGGACTTGTACGTCTAGACAAAAAAAACAATAGGCTTGGATCATCCATATTTCACATCTTTTAATAAGTAGCGTTTATTTAAGCCAAAAAATTAACATGTTAATTAATATATAATTCCACTAACACGTCATACAAATATTTATTTGATTTTAGAATACGTATTTATTCATTGATATAGGAAAAAAATAAAAAAATTATTAATTATTGTTCACCATATAATACTCAATTATTATTTTATTATAAAATTTATAGTCATATAATGTAATTATTATTATTTATAAAAGTTATAGAATTAGTCTTCTTTATGTAATGAAATTCAAAATAAAACTTTGAGTATAAATGTTTACAAAATACACACACATGTTTTTAGAATTCAATTTTCTCATAATAATTCTTTTTTAAAAAAAATGATTTAGCAATTGCCAAAAAATAAATCCCTTACATAATCAAGAGATTTTTTCTAATTTTTATCCTAAGGCTTTATAGTTTATTTAACATACTATGCAATAGAAAAATATTTTACAATAAGTTTATTTTTGAAACGTAACAAAAAAAAGTGAGAAAAACACTATCATAGTTGACAATAATATACAAATAAATAACATGTCAAAATTTTAAAGAATAACTATAATTTTATTATCTAACCATCAATAAAATTATTTAATGATGTGATCATTATCTTTTAAATAATAAATAATATTTTTTTAAAAAATATTAGTGTTATATAATTAAATAAAGGTTACAAAATATTACTCAACAAATATTAATTATAATGGATATCAGTAAAATCTTGAAAATCATATTTGGATAGTAAATATAAATATGCAAGCATTTAATGCATATAATAAAAAATTTCTAAATAAAGTATGCATTAAATATGTGTTGACTTTTCTTGCTACTGTTTTTGATAAATAGATTGACTTTTAATATATATAGATAGATAGATTTATATAAAGTCCGTGGAAAAATGATGACCCCCTAGTAAAAAGGAAAACAGAGATATATATAGACTATAGTTTTTCTTAAGGCAGGGATTTTATTTTATTATTTTTTATTTGCTGCAATTCTTGTGATATATTAAAATTTTCTTCCTACATAAATTTTAATTAATATGGCACACAGAATTGTCAGTTGTATGTGATGATATTCATGAATGTGTGAGATGGAAATTGCGGCTGGCTGTGAGGCAGTGAGATGGTGTCGCACTTAACTTTTAATTAACAGCCCATATTCAATGTACTGCCATTCAAACTATTATAATATTGTCGCACATCGTTTATATAGAGAAAATAGTCTGATTTATAAGTTTAATGGAGTACTCCTCCTT